TAACAGGTTACAGAAACTCTTGGCCATTAAAATCTAGACCAAGGTTGGTAAAAAATAGGATGACCATATGGGACAATGTGAAATCTGGGACACTGCCTCTCCCCTACCTTGATTCTGTAGGCAGAGGCGCTACTGGTATTACTATTCAGGCAGCTAAGGAGTCAATGGCCCATTAATAACCCATTGTTTTCTTCAAAGGTGTTAACAATCCTCTTTTTAATGGTCATTCCACCAACCAAGTTCACCTATTAGGGCAATTCTGCTGCCTGATAGGTCTTCCTATTTCATAGTTCCTGCCACTCCACTTCCCTGCCCCATGGCCTATGCCTGGGACACTCATTTTAATTTTCACTGGCCAGCCAGGACCAGCCTCCAAAATCCAGAACTGTCCCAGCTAATCTAGGATTTATGGTCACCCTAATAGAAAATGAACTTTGTTACCATCTGATGATGGTTGTTAAATGGACACTGAGAGATGAGTTAGCAACTTCAGTTCAATTCCAAGTAGACAGATATTCCCCTCACAGCAAGCACTAGTCATCTAATACCCAGTAGCAATCTCAGAAGTGAAAGCAAGGACTTGGCTGATAAGAAGCAAGTATGACTTTATTTATTTATTTAATTTATTTCTTGTTGTAATAAAAAATGCTTCTTAAGAAAAGCTCAAGATGCAAGTAAGCATGGCTTTAAAATAAGATAAAATAATCCACTGCCAATTTGCACTCAGGTTTAACACCACACACACAAAACTGTTTTCCTGGAGTTAGGATACTCCATTCTACCTAAAGAACCTAAAGAAGGGCGCTTTGTGCTTGAAATCTCATTTTACATGTCTTCCAACTATACAGTGGATCTAATAAAAGATATCACTAAAAAAGTCCTGCTTCTCCATTCAGTATTGTATTCACTGATATGCTTTAACTCAGCCAAACATTAGGAATTCAGTGTAGGAATTATTCAGTGAGACTTTGCATCTTATATCAAGCAAGTCAAGAGAGGATCATCACAGCTCCTCCTGACCTTCAGGAGGAAAAGTAAAATAAATAAATACACTCCTTTATAAACCTAGGACCGTGGTTCTCAAACTTTTTTTTTGCAGACCACTTGAAAATTGCTGAGGGTCTCAGCTGACCACTTAAACTTTTTTTGTTCTACAAATCAAAGCACACAACTCATTTTAATATCAGTTGTCTTACCTTACAAGTACAGATATTCTCAATTGTTCCACAACCTTTCTGTGGACCACCTGAATGGAGCTCATGGACCAGTGGTGGTGCACAGACCACAGTTTGAGAACCTCTGACCTAGGAGATTTTGAGTAGATTCATTGAATAGCAAAGTAAGTTTATACATTCTATTAGTTTTCCACAAATGAAATGAACTAGTGTGTGCTATACTGGTGGCACATCTTGTTAGTCAGATTTATTCATTTCCCTTCTTTGACCCTGGCTTTCAGTTTACAGAAGACAAAACAAACAAACAACCTCAATGATGTCATCAGTACATTTTTTAAATAAAATAATTCACTTACCATCCAGAAAAGGGTCCCAGTGGCAAATTCTGAATAATGTTCTATAGTAGACAGCACACTAAAAATCAAACAAATCAGCACCAGTAGAAATCTGTAACAAGAAACAAAATGCTTAACAATGTGCCAAGATAATGCTATAGGGTTGATCTAAATCCAGTCCTGTACTATTCTCCTCTTCCCCCCAACACACCCCTTTATACTGATCAAAAATGCTTTTCTATCATACAACTTCAGACCATTTTTCCACTTAAGTGAATTCATTATTCTTTCAACATCTGAAATTCCCATTGAGATCAAAAGGGATGTTAAGACAATAAGTAAGCAATGAAAGATCAACTTTTTAATCCAAAAAACAAAATAGAGAAATACTGGGTGCAGTTAAATCATTCTTTAAAATTCACATTCGTAACTATTTCATCCAAACAATTTCCATAGTTAGTAATAGTTTTTTATATATAATGTTTCCTATTATTTTAACAGCAATGGGAAACTTTAAAATATTGGCTTATTCATTCTACTGGGATAAAATATTCCATTAGAGGTATCTTCAGTAATTATTTACATGGAAAACAATCCTTTAAGTAATGGAAGTTGTTTATGGCTAAATATATTGATATTAGAACAGTACAGAGAATTGTTTCTATAACTGTCAATCAAGCAGGAAAAGTAAAGTCACCCAACAAGACATCTACCAAAAATGTTTAGAGAACCAACATTTTAAAGTGGGAGAGAAATTGGAAGAGAATATTTTGTGATTAAATATTTGTGAGTCAGCCAAAAAAGGGCTTCAATGAATACAATGCCTTGTCAGCTAGCAGTAGCACAAACAGGAACAGCAGTTTGCATAAGAACCCTTAGGCCTTAGCCAAAGTGCTCATGGGGCACGTTCTCATAACGGTTTATAACACCTCTATGACCCCCAAGAAACACAGGGAGGAATTATACAGATGGTTCTACATATTTCAGAGAATGCAAGTTCCTTACAGTTAAGTACCGCAGAAACATGTCCCATGACTCAAGATTCCTTCTCATTCCGTTCCTCTCATTTCACATCAAGAATCCCGTCTAAACTCCCAACAAGGTGCCAAAGCCATTCACAAAAAGGAGACAGCCCTGGGTATAATCATCTGCCAAGCTCTTCCTCCTTTCCCATCCTCTGTGTATTACAGAACAAATCAATTAAATGCTTTGAAGCTCCACTTTGAGTTAGCCAGTACTCTTAGGTAAAACTAACCTATCTCCGGGGAGAGAGGGATTGAGAGTTCAGCTGGCAGCATTACTTAAAAAGTCAGGGGGAAAAAAAATATCAGCAAATATACAAATGAAGCATTTCAATGGCATTAACAACTCTTAGCTGTATCACATATATACATTGCATTCTTCATTTCTTCTCAAATGGGTACCTTAATTTGTTACCGCTTGTGTCTTTAAAGGCATAACAAAGTACATAAGAACTACAAATATCTGAATTACTGTTAGTTTAGAAAACATAATGTAAGAATGTCTTAATACAAGAAGAAATTGGGCTTTGGATAAAATCAAAAACACCTACAGTGTTAACAGGTTTAATCTTGACAAGAGCATCATTTTTTCAGGACAACAATAAACTAAACCTCTTTTGCCTTATGTGAGGAGAACAATATGCTCTCCTAACCTTTGCCATGCCCCAGAAGGTTTCTCAGTCCCCAAAATATTCTCTGCCAATTTGTCTTTTCTGTATGATTGCCAAGGTCATTTTCCAGTTTACTCTACTCAGCAGGTGGTACTGCTAACAGTTATGCAAAGCATGTTGTATTTTGGGAAATTACAGGAAGAATGCAATATTAATCAGAAGCTGGACACTAAAAATTATAATTCAACTGAAATTGAAAGAGCTTACATCTTTAAAAAATAAATAAATAAAAATCCCCCAGCCACCTCAAATCCCAGCTTCTTGCATGGTCTAATTACTAGCATACATACATTAATCATATTATCCCATGATCATATGCTGCGCTGACTGTTCAAACATCTTACAAACGTCCTTCTTAACAACATTGCAAGGCTTCTTTTTAAAAACAAAATGGGGAAAAAAATTAGGATCGTCTCGTCTCCAACTAGATTTAGAATATTAAAAAGGGAAGGGGACAGAACTGTGATTTGTGTTCCAGCAGAGCAGCACACACTAGCATATTCAATTCTCTCAGCCATAGATAGCATTTTAGTTCAATTGCTGACAAAAATCAAGGCCTCATGCAATTTTTGTTGAAATAAATTTGCCACACAGAAGAAGGAAGGGAGACGAAGAAATTTTGTTCTGCAAAGTTCTTTAAAAGCTTTAAACGTCATAAATATTTCTGTCACCAATACCTTGCTAAGAAAATTCAGCTACAGTCTCTCATCTCTTCTCTCAGTGGGGCCAGAAATAGATATCACCCAATGAAGCAGAACAGGATCTATCTTTGATACATCCTGGCATGGTTGATTTGCTTCATCAGGGGAGAACACATACTGCCTATTATCCCCACCTGTTGATCTTGCATAGCAATGGACAACATGTTCCCTGCTTGCAGAGATGTGCCCCCAACAATCCCCAAAGTTCCTGCAAAGCGCATGAACTTCTTTCTAGAAACAGGGAAAGCTGGGAGACTTCAGCTGGAAGCCACTTGGTGACCTGGAGCCACCAATCAGTCAGTGGGCATGTATCAAAAGCAGGGAAAGCTGGGCAGGTATTCCCTGGGCTTGAAGGGCCTGATCCTGTGTAAGAATTCCTATGGTGTGCAGGACTAAGCCTCTCAAGCCCAGGGAGCACTTACCCATGGCTACAAGAGAATGTGGGAAGCTCTGGGCTGCCTTTATTTTCTTGCTGTAAAGCAGCTCAATTAAATTACTACCTTTTGTCATAGCTACATTGCGGTGTAACAAAAGATAGACACCTATTCACTGTCACTTTGTCTCACCATGAAATATTTTGTGACAACATAAAGGCAATGTATTTTTCTACTCGAAGTTCACCAAACATTAGGACAACACACACAAAATGATTCTCAGTGGACACAGAAATAATTTCTAATGCTAGCTGATCTTGGGCCCTTTGGGCCATGGCTAAAGAGGCTCACATTTGAAGACCAATCATATAAAAGAAAAGAAAAGACAACCATAACCTACAACTGTGAGCTTTCTTTTGTGAGAACTGGCTTGTAGGTGTGAAATTGTAAAATTGATACTACTAGAGGTGAAAGCTTAGAATCATAGCAAATTAGGGTTAAAGGGACTTCACGTCCAGCTCCCTGATCAAAGCAGGACCATCCCCAACAATCTATACAGTATCATACCAGCCAAGGCTTTTTCTGCCCAGGCCTTTAAAACCTCTAAGGATGGAGACTCCACAACCTCTCTGGATAGCTTGTTCCAGTGCTTTACTAGCCTCCTAGTAAGAAAGTTTTTCCTAACATCTAATTTAACCTTCCCTTACTGCAACTTGAAACCATTGCTTCTTGTTCTGTCATCTGCCACCATTGAGAACAGTCTAGGTAGTTGAAGGCTGTTATTAAAATCTCCCTTTGGTCTTCTCTTCTCCAGACTAAATAAGCTCAGTTCCTTCAGCCTCTTCCCAGTCATGCTTCCCAGCCATCTAACCATTTTTGTTGCCCTGTACTGGGCTCTCCAATTTGTCCATGTCCTTTCTGTAGTGGGGGGCCCAAAATTGGACACAGTGGTCCAGATATAGCCTCCCCAGTGCTGAACAGCTAGCCAAAAATAGCTGAATAGCTATTTTTCCTGAAAAATAGGAGGTGGCCAATGGAACTTATGACAATCATGGGTAAAGGATTCCAAACAGTGTAAGAGTCCCTCAAATTAGTTTACATTTACATTGGGTCGTCCTATTCAGCCACTGTTTTCATCCTGTGTCCTTTGACACTAGATAACTGCCTAGCAGAGGATCTAGTCCAGGTGAAATTAGCCAGTGTAACATGTAAAACTCCTCTACATCATAATTTAAAGTTGGCAATAATTTAATGGTTTACAAAAGGCACATGCTCACAGAACCAGAATGCACACAACCCAGTACCATATGTCTCAGATTCAGACTGGACTGAACCCTATATTAATGCTTTCTATACCAATTAAGGGTTGACATAAGAATGAGCTAGTACAATTTACAGAATACTAATATCTAGTAAAAGCCCTTGAGCAGTCATGCAATTATGTTTTTCAATTGCTACAAATAAAGTAAAATGCATACATTTTACCCACACATCACACACCCATGGTTCTTCAAGGCAGAGTCATTAGAAACAAACATTTGAGTTCAACTACATTTTCTGAGTGGAAAACCATTCTGGCAAAAATCAAAATAAAATCCATCTCTATTTGTTAATGTGTATACAAGTCATTTCTCAAGAATCTGCTAACAGGAGGAGAATATTTTATTTAGATCAGCAAATGAACTGGCTCCATGCTCTCATCTTCACTAACTCTGGAACTTGATATTTTAAAGTTCCATGCAATGACACTTTCACATACTTTCAAGGACCTGAATGTTCTAGGGACAATAACTATGACAGTCACTTATAAACAAACTTTAAAAAGGTAGTGAGGCATAGGTTTGGATAGGAATGATCCTGCCTCAGGCAGGATATAGGATTAGATGACCTTTGGAGGTCTCTTCCAGCTTTACATCTCTATACTTCCATGAATTTATCTGTTAGGAAGTTGCTTAGCACAACAGTCAGTATTTTAAAGAACTTTCCCCATCCCCCCAAAACAACTAAAAACAGGCATATACTGTACAGTTGTTCTCCAGATCCAACTTCACATGATCAGAAAAAGAGGGTTCATGCGAACTTGGACCCTTCCCATCTTTCTTTTATATCTCTTCTTTTTTAAACCAGAATGGAGCATGGTACTCCCAAGCCCTGAGAAATGTTTTGGTACATATCTATGTGTAAACTGTAATAATCCTGGCTCAAAGAATGACAGCAGTATCAAGTTATTTTGTTTGTAAAATTCAATCTTAACTATACATGAAACCGTTCTGTGGGTGCTACACCTCAGGAAGACAAATCAATGGGTGACACCTGGCTAGATGGCAGCACTATGAAGAAAGATCTGCAAGTCTTGGTAGATCACAGACTCAGTACAAGTCTGCAGTGTAATGCAGCTGCACTAAAGGCAAATGCAGTTTTGGGATGCAGTAATAAGAAATGTTAGGTGCAAGAAACAGAAGTCGACTGTGCCTCTCTACTTAGAAATGGTTAGGCCTCATCTGGAGTATTGCATAAGTTTTGGGCTCCACATTTTAAAAAGGATGCGGAAAAATTAAAGAGGGTCCAGAGGTGGGCATTAAATACAATCAAGGGCTGGGAAAGCAAGTCATACAAGGAAAGGCTGAAGGTGCTAAGCATGATCAGCTTGCAGAAAAGGTGCATTAAAAAAGGGACAGGATAGCAGTCTTCAAATACTGAAAGGGCTGCCATAAAAAAAAGGGAGAACGCCTTTTCTGTCTTGCTGCAGAGAATAGGACATGGACTAATGGCTTGAAGTTGCAGCAAACTAGGTTTATACTGGATATCAGGAAAAGCGTCTTCCCTGTTAGAACAGTGAGGCAGTGGAATAGGCTGCCTAGGGAAGACTCTCCATCACTGGAGATGTTCAAGAAGAGGTTGGATAGCCACTGGTCAGGAGTGATCTAGGGATATATGCTTATGTTCTACTGTAGGTATTTCCCATGCTTCTGGGCTCTGCTGGTTGCTTTATGGGGCTGAGAGGGAATTCTACTTTCCCCCATTCCCCTCCCACATATTTTGCTGCTGTGTGTTAGGTTTTTTTAAGCTTGCTTCAGAAGCACTGGGTATTGGCTGCAGCCAAGGCTGGGGATTTTGACTGGAGCATTCCAATGCTGGAGGTTTCTGGCTAAAGGATCTTCCCTCTGCTCAGGTTCCAACCATTTGCCATACTTGGGGTCTGGAAAGAATTTTACCCCATGGATCAGACTGGGATAGACTGTGGCAGTTTTTGCTGGTCTCTGCAGCAAGGGAAGAATGTAATAGCATTGCTCGAGCATGCAGAGATGAAGTCAGGAAGGCCAAAGCACAGATGGAGTTGCAGCTAGCAAGAGATGTGAAGGGTAACAAGAAGGGTTTCTACAAGTGTGTCAGTAGCAAGAGGATGATCATGGAAAGTGTGGGTCTGTGACTAAATGGGGGAGGCAACCTTATATGATGCAGAAAAAGTTGAAGTGCTCAATGCCTTTTGTGCCTCAGTCTTCATAGGCAGTCAGCTCCCAAACTACTGCACCAGACAGCACAGTTTGGGGAGGAGCTGAGCAGCCAACAGTGGTGAAAGAACAAATTAGGGACCATTTAGAAAAGCTGGATGTGTACAAACCATAGGGCAGGATGGGATGCACCTGAGGGTGCCGAGGGAGCTGGCTGATGTGATTGCAAAACCACTGACCATCATCTTTGAAAAATGGTGATCAGGAGAGGTCCTGAATGATTGGAAAAGGGCAAACATAGTACCCATATTTAGGAAAGTGAAAAGGAGGATCCAGGGAACTACAGACCAGTCAGCCTCACCTGTCCCTGGAAAAATCATAGAGCAGATCCTCAAGGAATCTATTTCTAAGCACTCGGAGAAGAAAAAGGCAATTAGGAATAGTCAGTATGGATCCACCAGGGGCAAGTCATGCTTGACTAACCTGATTGCTTTCTCTGACTAGGTGATTGGCTTTGTGCGTGCAGGGAGACCAGTGAAATGTCATGTACCTTGATTTTAGCAAGGCTTTTGATATAGGTCTCACACGACAGTCTCACAGGCAAGTTAAGGAAGTATGGGCTTGATGTCTAGTTGGCAGCTAGTATCAAGTGGAGTGCTCCAGGGGTTGGCTTTCTTCAATGCCTTCTTCAATGACCTGATGACATCAAGCTGGGGGGAGTAGTAGATACACTGGAGGGCAGGGCTAGGATTCAAAGCGACCTAGACAAACTGGAGGACTGGGCCAAAAGAAATCTCATGAAGGTTCAACAAGGACAAGTCTGAAGTCTTGCACTTAAGATGAAATAATTCCATGCACCATTCTACAGGCTGGGGGCTGACTGGATGGGCAGCAGCTCTGCAGAAAAGGGCTTGGGGATTACAGTGGACAGTAAGCTGAATATGAGCCAGCAGTGTGCCCTTGTTGCCAAGAAGGCTAACAGCATACTGGACTGCATTGGTAGGTGTGTTGCCAGTAGGTCAAGGGAAGTGATTATTCTCTTTTATTCGGCACTGGTAAAGGCACATCTGGATTACTGTGTTCAGTTTTGGTGCTGCCACTACAGAAAAGATGTGGAGAAATTAGAGAGAATTCAGTGGAGGGTGATAAATATGGTGAAAGAGCTGGGGGACAAGACTAATGAAAAAAGACTGAGAGAACTGGGCTCATTTAGTCTAGAGAAAGGGGACTTAATAGCAGCCTTCAGCTACCTGAAGGGGGGTTTCAAAGAGGATGTAGCTAGACTGTTCTCAGGTGGTGGCAGATGCCAGAACAAGGAGCAACAGTCTCAAGTTGCAGCAAGGAAGTTTAAGTTAGATGTTAAGAAGAATTTTCTCACTAGGAAGGTAGTAAAACACTAGAACAGGTTACCCAGAGAGGTTGCGGAGTCTCCATCCTTGGAGGTTTTCAAGACCTGGCTAGTCAAAGTTTTGGCTGGGATGATCTGGTTGGGGATCATCCTGCTTTGAGCAGGGGGTTGACTAGATGACCTCCTGAGGTCTCTTTCAACCCTAATTTTCTATGATTTCTAATGGATGTGGCCCTTTTCTTGGGATCTCAAGTGTATTTTTAAGAACCTTCACAACAGCAGGATGTTAGCCACCACAGATTTAGGTGTTAGGTCTTGTGTTGTATCAGGGTTGACTGTGCAGTTTTACTAAGAAGTTAGACAATGGCTTTGTATAGGGATTATCCTCTCTCAGGCAGGGGGTTGGACTAGATGATCTACAGAGGTCCCTTCCAGCCCTACTTCTCTATGGTTATTCATACTGGCCAAGATATCATGATCAACCAACTGAACTTTTCCTTTAACATCTCTTCTAGGAGTTCCTGAAGACTAGCCAGCAATAGCCCAGTGAAATGTTTCTATTCCCTTTTGAACTGGAGTCAGGGGAAACATATCAAGCAAGTGGTCATACAGCAGCTCTGCATAGCATATGGTGCTATGCATGCTCTCACTTAAAAAGAGAGAATCCAAGGGGAACAGGTAAGTACCAGACATGTTGTTGGGGAAAAAAAATGGTGTTACATGCATCTATTTCAGGGGATTTTCCCAGGTTGTATATCAGGTTCGTCAGATCACAATAGAAATCTATAAGATGAATGAAAAATAAAGTAGAATGCAAGTGCAGTAGCTCCTTATGGCTGTACAGCTAGAGACCATTAACTGTAATCTTAAAATTGGATCTGATTTCTAATCATAAAATCACAGTACAAGGTTGGAATAATATTATAAAAACGTGTTGGCAAAAAGTAATTGTTTCATTTCTACACTTAAGATATTTTACCTTCCCTTCACCCCCTCTTTTCCTGTATCTACTTTTTGATGTCAAACTAGCTGCATATTGAAATATTTGAAAATACCACAAAAGCCTGTGCAGATATAAAAACTTGGCAACATTGAGTTTGGAACCTACCACCTGTTTTAAGTTCCTGGTAGACGTTGTTAGGGAGACCATAGAAATAGCATGGCATGATGCAGGTGCTAGAAAATTAATCCAAGGTAGCATTTGGTATCTTATGTCAAGGGGGCAAATATGCTTAGTACACAGGGTATGAAAGATAATAGTCCATATCTTTAGTTGACATATAATCAGCCCAGTTTCGTTGATCATCAATAACTCCACACCTGCAGAAAAAGAATGGCCTTACTCTACAGACTAACAGCTACCTTTAAAAAAAAAAAAACAGCAAAAAACTAAAAAATATAACCGTTAGGAAATCTAGTTTGCTTAATTGTTTCATGACCTTGCATTGTAGCACAAATTCAGAATACAAATTGCTTTGGTAAAATATATAGTGAACAGCATATATTGGCCATCCACTACTTGTAAAAGATGGGAACCTAATCAAGTTATATGTTGGCTCTTTAATATTATAAAGCACCACAGTTAGCACACCTTAGGGTAAGTGTTGGAACCATTTGAATTAAAGTCAGGTTTGTGGCTAATTATAATCTTAAATAACCTAAGGTTTGGGCCAAAGTATACCACATAATACTTGTATCCAGTTGAAATTTTTCCTCATTCTACATCAGGACGACACCAGAAGATTTTGCAGTTTTAACATAAAGGCAAACACTTATGGCCCCTAATAACTCAAGGATCCTCAGATGTGGAGAACCTATGTTCAAATTACTTTACAATTAAAGTCACTGGTGCAATGTTACAGCTGTTATTCATCAACTACAGTGCTAAGTAGGTCCAGCTTAGTAGCAACACAGCCATGGTCATTTCACTTCGCTGTTGTTAGGAAAGGTTACAAATAGCAGCAGGGTCTGGAACAAGAGTTTCATCATAGCCTCAACATTTTTTTAAAGTACACACACACACACACACACACACACACACACACACACACACACACACACACACTGAAAGATGAGTAGAGACCCTACACCACTGTTACACACTGCTTGCAATAGTCAGAAAGCTCTTACAGCAGGAAAAAGTAGCAGAAGTGTAAATATTTTTTAAGCAAGCCTCTATTTCTACTTTAAAAATAAATAGTAAATTTACCACCAAAATGTTTAGGAGAAGGGGACTGAAACTATTTTCCAGTCTGCGCAATTTTAGCAAACATTCTAAGCAAAAGCAAAGGCGGTGGGTGTGGGAGGAGCTTTGAAACTGTAGAAAACTTTAAAACGTTCTAAATAAATGTTCTTGTTTTAAAAATGGTAAAGTGTTTCAGAGGCATTTTTAAGTGTGAAGTTTCTTTTAACAAGTTATATATAAAAAACTTTTTAAAAGTGAAATGACCCAAGAGAGCTAAATAAAACAAAACATTTAAAATAAAATGAAATTTGAGTTGACATAAAAATGGAACTGGATTTTCTATTTCATGGGAGCCTGAATTACTTCTTTCAGTTTATCCATGAAAGAATCCTTTCCCCTACCCTTATTTTTTTTTCCTCTTGCCACAAAACTAAACTAAAATATCCATTATTCACCTAGCTCTAGTTCAAAGGCAGGAAAGGAACAGTAGTTGCACTTCCTTACAGCAGCTGAAGTACATGAACCTTGAAGTTTATTCATTTTCTAACTTACAGATGATATATGAAATATTGAGTTCCCAGTCTAGAAGCAAGAAGCACACTAATGGAAATTAGATGTTTTTGGACCTCACATTATTTAGCTCACGGTTGCTCAACCTCCAGTTCATGGAGCCACTACATTAGGCCAGAGGAGTTAGGGGTGGGGGAGCTGTGGCCACCCTCCCCCAATGCTAAATTCCTACACCCTCTTTGCCAGCACAGCTAGATCTGGGCCAGGCCAGGCCCCCTTCTCCCCACAGGGCTGAATGAGGACTAGGCCACACCCTCTTCCCTTCTGCAGGGCTGGATCAGAGCTGGGCTGCCCCACCCCACCCCCATCCACAGCCTCCTTCACATGGCAAGGCCCCATCCAACCACTCCCCCCCACCGGGCAGTGAATCAGAGCCACTGGCCACATCCAGCCCATGGACGGACTGGGCACTGTCCATCTGGCCTGCCAAAGGGGAAAAAAAGATATATACATTGAGCACCACTGGTTTAGTTGCTTAGGTTAATAATATCTTTGGGTGGCATCTGGCCAGCCTACTAGGAAAGCTTTAAACTAGGTTCTATGGGGAATGGTAAATAAAACCCTCCAGCAACAGAGCGCATGATCCAGAGGGGAAAGGCCTAGAAAAAGCTCATCTCTGGAAAGGCCCAAAAGACAGTAACAAGTGGTGCAAAACGGAAACAAATAGGTCAGAACACAAAATATGGCCAGCATATGTATACAAGTGTTAGAAGTTTAGGAAACAAATATGATTAACTGGTAATCACAGCTTGTGAAAAGAACTATAATCTGATCGGTACTGCAGAGACCTGGTGACAACTTTTATGGCTGGAATGTCAATGCCAGAAGGCCACACTATTTCAGAAGGACTAGGTTGGGAGAAGAGGTGGCAGTGCTGCCTTATGTCAAAAAACACATTACACTTGTTCCCTGCATCAGGGAGAAAGAAGATAGCAATTCAGAATGTGTTTGGGTGAAAATATACAGTACCGATAAAATGGTGGGAAGTCACAAAGAAAAAAAAGTAGATGAAGCACTCTTCAAGGTGACAAAATTATCTAAAAAGTCAAGATGGTACTGATGGAAGACTTGAATTTTCTGGACATCTGCTAGAAGGCCAATACAACTAAATTGTAAGATGTCCAGCAAGTTCCTAACTTGGGTAGAGCACAACTTTCTGTTCCTGGACGTTAAGGATACAAATAGGGGATCATCCATCTTGGGTCTTGTCCTATGAAGGTGATGGGGAAACTTAAGAGGAAGCGATTATTATGTGATATCAGTCAAGATCCTAAGACAGGTAAAGCATGAGAACTAAGATGCTAGATTTCAAAAAGGAAAATTTAAACTGATTCAAGGAGTTAATAGGCATAGTGCCATGGGAAAACAGACTGAAGGATACAGGTGCCCAGAAGGGCTAAAAGCTTCTAAAGGGCACAGTATTGCAAGCCAAAACAAGAAACTGTTCAGACACAGGAGAAGCACAAGAAGAATGGGAAGAGACCAATGTGGCTGCACAAGGAACTTCCAGATTGCCTCAAACACAAAAGGAAATCATACAAGCAATGAATAGATCGTCAGGTCACCAAGGAAGCTTACCAGGAAATAGCAAGAGCCTGCAAGGACAAAAATTAGGAAGGCAAAGGTTGAAAGAGAGGTACACCTGGCAAGAGAAGAGAAGTTAAGAACAATAAGAAAAGGTTCTGTAAGCGTGGTGGCCAGAACAGAGAGACCAAGGAAGCTGTGCGTCCACTGTTTAATAGCAGGGAAAACTGTTAACAGAAGATGCAATGAAGGTAGAACTATTCAACAGCTAATTCACCAGTCTCCACAAAAAAAATTAAAGCTGCCAGCAGACACCTAATAAGGACTGTTTGGATAAGGAAGGAGATGAGCTGAGGAATGAGATGGCAAAAGAAAAAAATCAGCTTATGATAAGTCTTAATGCAGTTAAGTCAGCAAGACCAAACAAACTTCATCCCAGGATACTCCATAGCCTTTATAAAGGGTAATTACAAAAGGATCTACATGCAAATGGCAGGAGGTTTCAAATAGAGTCTCACAGGGGTCTCGCCTGGACCCTGTGATGTTTAGCATGTTTATGAATAATTGGATGCTGGAATTGAGAACTTTCTTGATGAAAGTTGCAGGTGAAACAGAACTGCAAAGGACTGAGAATGTGTTGAAGGACAGGAGCATAATTCAGACAGACCATGACAGGTTCTAAAAGCTGGGGTGGAGCTAACAGGATGAAGTTCAGTACTGACAAATGCAAGGTGCTGCACCTTAGGAAGAATTATCAAGGACACAAATACAAAATGGGCGATAACTGGCTGGATGGCAGCACTATGGAGAAGGATCTGGGAGTCTTGGTGCATCAGACTCAGTGAGTGTGCTGTGCGATACAGCCACATAAGAACTGAAGATAGTTTTGGGCTGAATCAATACAAGCATTACATGCAAGACATGGGAGGTGATAGCACCTCTGTACTCGGCACTGGTTAGGCCTCATCTGTAGTACTGTGTTCAAGATTATGCTGGAGAACATTGATCAGGGATGATGTAGGAATAGCTATGCCTACATCCTACTATTGTTTGTTCCCCTCATAATTCTTGGGTTTGCCAGTTGCCATATCGGGCTGGAAAGCAATTCTCTCTTCTCCCCCCCACTCCCCCACCTCCACCCCGCCTCCTGTTGCTACATGTGTTGGGGTTGGGAAGTTTGTTTTCCACACAAGCATTGGGGGTTGGCTATAGTCAAGGCTGAGGATTTTGACTGGGGTGTGCTAGTGTTCCTGCTGGGACTTAAACCTGGAGGTTCCTCGCTAGAGGGTCTTGCCCTTCCATTGAGGTAAGGAAGGAATTTTACCCAGTGGTCAGACTGGTACAGGTGTGGGGGTGGGTTTTGCCTTTCTCTGTAGTGCAGGGTATGGCCTTCCTTGGATTTGTTGAGCATATTTTAAAATCAGCCCTCATAGCAGCAAGATACATTGGTCACCATTGTCCCCCTGCTATACCTGTGGCAGCTTAGGGTGTTATACCTTATTGTTGCATTAGGATCAACTATAGTTTTACTAATAAGTTAGACAATGGGTGTTTTGGATAAGGAGTTAAAAAAAATCCTTTAAAAGGTGTTTTGGGGGATGGGAGAAGAAATAGGATCATTCAAGCAGTGATAGTTTCCAAGCATACCTCTTTTTCCAAGTTACACACCTATTACAGCCTTGTGGCCTAGAAGTGAGGCTTGCTTGTCTTGATTTCCTTTGATACAAATACAAGAGACCCTTTAGTGTTATCCGTCCATCATCTTGATCCCCTATAATGCACTTATCATAGATAACAACTTTCATCCCCCCCACAAAAAAAGAAAAAAAAAATAAACAAATCATGTGTTAAAGTTTTTAGAAAAAGAGGGAGCTATTGTTACCACTCAGGAAGAGCAGAGTTATGTGGGGCAAAAATGCTCAGTTTTCATACTAGATAAGCTACCCTTGTCTACATTACAGCCAAGTAACATAATTTGCAGGTAAAGGGGCAGAGGAACACAAGCTTTGATACATCAGTAAAATACTATTTTAAAAACCACTGCAAACAAGCAAGGATATTTCCTGGGAAGAAAATATTCCAATACTTTCTCAAATGGGACAATCTAAGCAGCTTTTTCTACCATCTAGATTTAAAATGAGTCCATGATGATCAACAAGGGTTATGGCCTTACTCAATGCAACAGCCTTCAAACTCCCTGAAGTAATTTCTAATGAATTAATGTCCGACAAGTTGACAAGTTATGATCCAAAACAAAAAACAAGTAGAAACATTTTTATCTGCAATCATGTTGTTCTCTAGTGAGTCACGTGAATTTTTCTCACTATTTCATCAAATAAATAATGAAGTAGATTATTACCTCATTCTGCATAGGGGAAAAACAAAAAACAAAAACCTTTGAGGTTTTTCCACACCCCCTCTAGCACTATAACTCTCTGTTGCATTATTGTCACCCCTCTGGTGATGTAGCCCCCAAGAGTCTTTATTTCACATGTCCCTTTCTGGGTTTTGGCCTCAGTCAGTCTATAACCAGCCTACTGTTTTCCCTTATATATATTTTTTTTTTCCATAGGACCTCAGCCTGCTGGCTGATGTCAGTGATGAGTCCCAACCAGAGGTACACACACCCAAGTCCTCGCCTGCCACAACTTGATGTTTATGGGAGTAGAATTTTGCACCTGGGTGCGTAGTTCCCATCGGTTGTCGTCCACCATTCTATGTTCATGAGGGCTCCACCATTCCCTACAGCCTCGCCCGTTCCACCAGGTCTACCCTTGAAAATATGACCCTTTTAGGGTCTTCACAGTACCTTGTCTCTGGAGTGTCCTTCTGTTAGGATCTTTATGGTATTTCCTCCAGCCATGCTCTGCAGGCTGCCAGCAAGATCACGGTAAGTTTCTGGTGCTGATACTTCACCACTCCTTTCTCTAGGCTTCTTCTGGGGAAAGCTCCCTCTTTGCAGGGGCCTCCTGCTGGCTTTCCAGGCTGCTCTCAGGCTTTCTTGCAGCTTTGCTTGGCCCAGCTCTCCTCTTTCTGGTCTTGCGCTCTCCTCCCCTGCCTGCTCTTGGCTCCTCTTTATACTGGGGCTTGAATGCCCCACCCTTCCCTTTCAGCAACACCTGGATAAGGAGGATTTCTGCCGGGCTCTTTGGGGCTGGGGCCGCTGATTCTATCTTTGGCTGGTGATCCTTTGCTCCCTGTGGCTCTCTCTCTTCCTCACAATTATACAAAGCATTTTAAGCAAATTTCCACATCTTTTGAATTTGGCATTGCACTGCAACCCAAGACGTATAGCTTGAAACTACTGTGTTGCAAGAATATAGACACAGAATTGATGATTATCATAGATGCTTTCAAGTTTGGTAAGAAAATGGTAGGTAACTAGCAAGACTAATCAATTCCAGTTACTTAATGACAACAGATTCAGTCACTAAAACCTTAAAGACTAAATACAGAGGATAAGAAAGCTTGAGGTTGAATCAATTCAGTCTTTGCAGGTTAGACTAAGCTGCAGAGAGAGAACCAGCAAGCCAGCAAAGAGACATTCACTTTTGATTCAGGAAATGCAGGTACATGCCCTCAGTGGCTCAAGCCAAAAGCTCCAAGGCTTTTCCCTGCTCAAGCAAAGGGGGCCAAGCCCCACCCCAGAGGTAGCTGGAGGGTCTGCCTGGGAGGAGAGCAGTGCCTGCAGGGCTGAGGAGGGGGTGCTAGGTGGGGAAAAAGATAGGTGGCATTGAATTCATAAAAGCCTGAACAAAAGTAGTCCTCTCTCTGAAGTGAGTATATATTGAACAGAAGGGAACAACCCTGCGGAGTCCTGCTGGCTGTGATCATGGACTACAAAATTCGAGAGGCACTTGGAAGCAGGAAGAGAAAGTGATGAGCACCCTGCAGAGTCCTGCTGCTGTGGGTCTGGACTGCAAATCCCAGAGACCTTGGGGGCAGCAGGAAGAGGAAGTTAAACACAGATATTATGCTGGGATGCTGGGGGACTCTGATTTAACTTGAACCAGGAAGGGGTATGGGACATAAGTTTCATAAACTGGTTTGACCTAAATCAGTTAAGTCTGATACTACATTCAAATAGATGCACCTTAAACCAGTTTCAGCCATTTTAAAACTAATTTTTGTGCACTGAGATTCTGTTCTGTTACAAGTTTAAACCAGTTTCTTAAGATTTAAAGCAGTTTGTGTGCAACTTCTGTCCCTAGCCAAATATATACATACAGACTTCTTTAATCTACCAACCTCTAAATTGGTAAACTGCTGCAACCAAAAGGCAATGAGAACATTATAGTTCATTTTTAAAACTTATTAATATGTTTTTCCCCCTCACAAAGTGCTTTTTCTAAAGTAGGGAAATTCCTAGGAATCAGCATTTGAAAAAATGAATTTTTATCCCTTTGTGGTCAGTATATTATTCAGTTACATACCTGTGAGTGGTGCTGCCAGTATGACCTGTGCCAGTGTACAGGAACTCCAACCCCTGAGGTGCCTTTTGAACTGGACAGTTAGACGCTCAGCATGTCCCCACTCATGAAGACTGACCCTCATATCATCTGCCATGCCTTGATTTTGAATACTGTTGAGAGGGTTCCTGGTCATTAATTATAGCTTGTGCTGATCACACATGAGGGTAATACAGGGGGCTCTGCCTCCACTCACACTGCTTCCACATGCCAACTAAGCTGACTTGTGGATGTCTAGCCTCTCAAGGTGTTTCCTCACAAGATCTTCTCCAGTTATGTGTGTACGATCTCCCTTACCCTGGTAATCCCGCATCCTGTCCAGCAGGGTGATCTGCTTGGGCTGGTGAAAAACCAATGCAAAAGCAAACATTGAGGAGATTCAGTTTTTCCTGGGTGTCAGTTGTCAGCTGCCCCATTTGGTTCAGCAGGGGTCCAATACTGCCCTTGGGGGGTGGTGGGGGGGGGGTTCTGACTTCCCATGTATCTGAAGAACTTTTTGTTGTTTTTAATCCCTATAGCCAGTTTGAGTTCCGTTTCAGCCTTGGCTTTTCTAGTCCACTCCCTACTGGTGCGGGCCAGTGCTACATAATACTCTTTAGTGGTATTTCCCAACTTCCATCCCTTGTGAGCTTCTTTTTTCAGATTCAGGAGGTCCATGAGTTCCCTATCAAGTCAAGGGAGCCTCCCAGCCCTTTTGCCACCTTTCCTACAGGCCGGAATTGACCTCCCTTGTAGGAATCGAGTCCACTTTTAGGATTGTGTCCTTAAGGAATGACCACTCATTATGGATTCACCTCCCTGTCAGATCACGATCTCTCAGGACATCATCTACCAACCTCCTGAGCTTGTGAAAGTCAGCTTTCCTAAAGTCGAGGATTTCTGCATTGCTGACTGATTTGCCAGCTTTGCAATGGATAGAGGAAGTGATCAACTCATGATCACTGTCACCTAGCTTCCCTTCAATCTTTGGGTCACTCGCTAAATCATCCCCTTTGGCCAGAACCAGATCCAGCAGCATCTTACCTCTTGTTGGCCTCAACTACATCCTGGATACGGGGATCCCTAAGCTTTTCTGGCCCTCTGACCACTACCCCATGCTCCTCATCCATGTGGGCACAAATGACATGGCTTGGAGCAATCCTGGTCAGGTCATGAATGTCTACAGGGCTATGGGGTCTAGGCACAGAGGTACCTGGGGGCACAGGTAGTTTTCTCCCCAATCCTCCTGGTTACGGGTCAGAGACACAGGAGGGAGAGATGTATAGAAGAAGTGAACAGAAGACTGCAGTGCTGGTGCCATTGCAAAGGCTTGAGCTTCTTCGATTACAGTCCATACTTCAGAGACAGGCAGCAGATTGTTGGGAAGGGATGGCCTCAACTTCACTCTGATTGGCTAGAAAAGCTTCTTTCCTATGGCTGACCTGCTTGACAGGGCTTTAAACTAAGATCACAGGGGGACAGGTAGACAAAATCACCAGCACAAGCCCAGGAAGTGACAATTACAGAATCAAGAGGTCAGGTAACACAAGGGAACTTACTGTGACCCCAACCCAAAGACAGGACTCTTCTGAGCACACAGGGAAGCCCAGGGCTTCTGATCACAGGTTTAGCTGTCTGTATACAAATGCCAGGAGGATGAGAAATAAAAGAAGGAAGTGGCCTTTCTGCTAAGCAAAAATGAATATGATCTCCCAGGAATAATGGAGACCTGGTGGGACTCCATCTATGACTGGACACAGGTATAGATGATTATACCTTTTACAGGAGAAATCATGTTGTAAAGAAGGGTGGGGGTGTAGCTCTCTCTGTGAAGGAGCACTACATTTCCCTACAAGCAGAGATTGGCACCCAAAGAGGGTGGCCTGGATGGAACGCACCCAAGAGTGCTGAAAGAGTTGGCTGACATCATAGCACAACCAATGATGATGATGATATTTGAGAACTCATGGTGTTCAAAAGAGGTTCCAGAGGATTGGAAAAGGGCCAATGTGGTGCTTATCTTCAAGAAAGGAAGGAAGAAGGATCCAGAGAACTACAGACAAATTAGTTTGCCCTCAATCCCTGAAAAGATCTTGAAGAAAATGATCAAAAGTACCATCAATAACAGGCTAATGAAAGGCAACATTCTGAGAGAGAGCCACCATGGCTTCATTGCAGGTAGAACTTACCTGGTCATAGAAGGAAATGAGGTTTGGTCAGGCAAACCATCACCTGGACAAGGGAGAAGAGATCGATGCCATATACTTGGATTTCAAAAAAACCTTTGACTTGGTCTCCCATGATGTCCTCATGGTAAAACTGGCAAACTACAGCCTTGACAACCTTATGGTCCAATAGCTAGGGAACTGGCTCAGTAGTCAGACCCAAATATTAATAGTTGATGCTACTGAGTCAACACGGTGCATGGTAAAAAGTGGCATCCCCCCACAGTTCAGTACTTGGACCAGTACTTTTTAATACCATGCTCACTGGCTGGAAAATTGGCTCCGTGGTCAGACCCAGAGGGTAGTAATTGATGGAAGTCACTCATCATGGTGCCCTGTGAGCAGTGGGGTCCCCCAAGGCTCTGTCCTTGGACCCATATTGTTCAACATCTTCATTAATGATGTAGACATTGGAGTCAGGAGCGGACTGGCCAAGTTCGCTGAAGACACCAAACTTTGGGGCAAAGCATCCACACCAGAAGACAGGCAGATGATCCAGGCTGACCTGGACAGGCTCAGCAAATGGGAGGACGAGAACCTGATGGTGTTTAACACCAAAAAATGCAAGGTTCTCCACCTTGGGAAGAAAAACCTGCAGCTTCCTTATAGGCTTGGCAGTGCTATGCTGGCTAGCACTACGGAAGAAAGAGACTTGGGGGTCATCACTGACCACACGATGAACATGAGCCTGCAATGCAATGCTGTGGCTAGTAAACCAATCAAAATGCTGGCTTGCATCGATAGATGCTTCTGAAGCAAATCCCAGGACATCATTCTACCCCTGTACTCGGCCTTGGTGAGGCCGCAGCTGGAGTACTGCACCCAGTTTTGGGCTCCACAATTCAAAAAGGATGTGGAGAAGCTTGAGAGCATCCAGAGAAGAGCCATGCGCATGATCAGAGGTCAGGAAAACAGACTTTACGATGACAGGCTGAGCCATGTGGCTTTTTAGCCTGGAAAAGTGCAGGCTCAGGGGTGATCTGATGGCCACCTATAAGTTTATCAGGGGTGTTCACCAGGATCTGGGGGAACGTTTGTTCACCAGAGTGCCCAAAGAAAGACAAGGTCGAACGGTCATAAACTACTACAAGACCGTTTCAGGCTGGACATAAGAAAGAATTTCTTTACTGTCCAAGCCCCCAAGGTCTGCCATTGGAGGTGGTTCAAGCACCTACACTGAACACCTTCAAGAGCAAATTGGATGCTTTCATTGCTGGGATCCTATGACCTGAGCAGACTTCCTGCCCTTTGGGCAGGGGGCTGGACTCGATCATCTTCCGAGGTCCCTTCCAGCCCTAATGTCTATGAAACTATGAAATATATTCATAAATGATCTGGATTTGGGTATCAGAAGTGGACTGGCTAAATTCGTAGATGACACCAAATTATGGGGAAGTGCAATCACGCTAGAGGATAAGCTGGGGATTCAGGCTGACCTAGACAGACTCCCAAGGTAGGCAGATCAAAACCTGATGCATTTCTCTGTGTTGAATGTCAAAGTGCTTCACCTCGGGAGAAAGAACCCATATGATACTTATGAACTCAGCAGTGCTACACTCAGTAGTACCATGACCAAAAGAGACTCGGGGGACATGATTGATCACAGGCTGAACATATGCCACCAATGTGATGCCACAGTCAGCAAAGCAAACACAACTCTGGCTTACATCTACAGATGCATCTCAAGCAATACCTGGGAAGTCATCCTCCTGCTTTACTCAGTCTTGGTGAGGCTGCAGCTGGAGTACTGCATCCAGTTCTGGGCTCCACACTTTAGAAAGGACATGGAGAAGCTGGAGAGAGTCTAGAGGACAGCCATGCACAGGATTAGAGGACAAGAGAGCAGGCCTTATGAGGAGAGGCTGAGAGGCATGAGACTGTTCAGCCTGGAGAAGAGAAGGCTCAGGGGGGAGTTGGTGGCAGTCTGTAAGTATATAAGGGGTGTGCATCAGGAACTGGGAGACAGTATGTTCACCAGGGCACCCCAAAGGAAGACGAGGTCACATGGTCACAACCTGCTGGAAGACTGTTTTAGACTGGACATAAGGAAAAACTTCTTTACCATCTGAGTCTCCAGAGTCTGGAATAGACTCCCCCCAGATTTGTGCAAGCATCTACTATGGATAATTTCAAGAAACTCCTAGATGCACCCCTTGCTGGGGTCATCTGACCCCAGCTGACTTTCCTGCCCCTGGCAGGGAGCTGGACTCAATGATCTCATCAGGTCCCTAACGTCTATAAAATCTATGCTAGTGTTCAGTCTTTTTTTCACAGTGTAGTGTGCCCATGAGGCTGGCTTGCTGCATGCTTTCAATGTAAGTCTTGGAAAAATTATGTCAAATCAGATCCAGGCCCAATCTGCCCGAGTCCCCACCTGTTTGGTGACTCAAACAACTAGCAAATACAGAAACTCAAAAAAAAAAAAGGTCCATCTCACTGAAATTAATTGAATGAATTGATTTATTTGCATCAGCTAGTCAAACGCACTTAATTCACTTTGGTGTTAGGTACACTCTGGGGCCATCGCCATTCACTGGCTCTGTCAGGTCCCAGTCAAAACACTAAGTCCTCCTTCTCCACACCCAACTCAGTGAGAGGGTCCCAAGATGTCCTCTCCCTGTCATCTATCCTGGGGTCTGGGTATTTTGTGCCAGGTGTTCCTGCAAACACCTGAGCTAAGGAGATTCTCCCCTCCACAACCTCAGCAGCACCCAACTTGCTCTCTGTGGTGCAGTTCCACAAAATGCCTCTATGCCACTCCCTCTCCTCTTTCCACCCATGCCAGATGTCCATGTAACCCAGGCAGTGACCATTAGACTCCAAGATGTACCCCTTCTCCAGTTGAAGGGATCAGAGCAGGTGCACAAGTACTGTGGGAGGTGTAAGGACCCTCCTCCTACTATGGAGCAGAGCCAGATCACTAATAGGGACTTAAGCATATATCTTTTAATGAGGGAGCAGTAGTGGGAACATAACCAGTATAAACCAGGGGAAATAGGGGACACTACAACTCCCTGAGGGGCAGGATTCAACAAAGGTTAGACACTTACAATCACAGACATATTCATCCAGTTGACAAAAGACAGGGTTAACAAAATATAAAAAACACAAACAGCAGAACAATACTGGTTGGTGAAATATAAAAAGCACAAAATACAAAATGCCAACTAACAAGGAATATAGGGCCTAGGTACCTGGAAGGGTGGGGGGGAAAAGAGGGAAAACACAATGACCCCTTTTCACTGCAACAATAATTTCTCCCTATCACTTCACCCACCCCAAGTCACCCCAACTAGGGCTTAAACTTGGATCTCCCACATGATAGGCAGAAACTCTACCACACAGCCACTAGGGCTAGTGCTACTTCAAGCTGCTAGGGGTCTTGACCTTTTAGGAGCCCCAGCCTCACATCAAGCTTCCTGGCCCCTTATTGGAGAAGCTGGAAGCAGACCTGGGAACCTCTCAGGTCACTGCTCAGATTCTTGCTGGAGCTGGGGAGTCTCCTGCTGGCTGCAACCTCTCATAAGGGATCCTGGAGCCCAGCAGGAAGCCTCTCCTGCCAGCCACATGCCACGCTGCTGAGGGTCTAACTGTTGCCTGCAGGTCTCACTCCTTCAGGCTCTTCTGGGGAAACTGCTCCTGCCCCGCTGGCCCAGCTCTTGCCAGCTCTTTGAAACTCCTTCCTTGTGGTCCCTCACTGGTCTCCTCCGAGTCAGCTGCGCTGTCCCTTTTATCCCCCTCCAGGTGACCCCTGGAGCCAATCAGGTGACATGGAGGGTGTCTCTGGGGCCTGATTGGAGAGCTTGGAATTCCCTTTCCTCACCAATCATCTTTTACCCTTTCAAAACCCCTGGGCCAAATCACCACCAGCTAGCCCATCACATCCATTTAAACTGCCCATTCTCAGGCATCCTCCAATGCAGAACAAGCAGGAACTCACAAAACAAGGCTCTCACTTCCTCCATCACTTAGCCACTGCCGCCATTCCTGCAGGAGCACATGAGAACACTCTCCAGCCCTTACCAGGCTTCCCTGCTTTACCCAGGTGCCATGAGGGGAAGTTCCAGAGATCCTTATTCCTGGGTTCACCTTAGCTGAGTAACCCCAACTTCCAAAATATTGTTCAAATATCTACACACAAAGAAAGATTTTCTCCCCACTCCAACTTTTTTTTTTGTTTGTTTAAGATGGATGCAAAAGAGTAAAACTAATGCAAACACTGATTCTATTGTACCATGGCATCCAAGAGACATTTTAAAACTAGTAAATTACCTGCACTCTGTGAAACTCTAGAGAGCTCCTTGCATGTTGATGTTAAACAGACTTTCTGAACCTTGTCATCACTAGTTTTTCATGCATGTCACAGCAAGGACTTGTCCAGTTTCCTGCTCCAACAGATACTTTGGCCCAGGTTCACAGGAGAGATATTTGGATGCCTAAATTTCACCAGTAATCAACAGCCTTGAAATTCCCACCTATCCTCTGAAAGACCTCAGGTGAAGTTTTTGGCAGTAAAATTCCCTAGAGTTTTACTTCTGCACACCATAACTACCATTTTTACTCAAGTATAAGATGGCCTTGATAATAGGAGGAACCACCCAATAATTAGCTGTTGTACTATTCCAAGAATAAGATCTAGTTATTGGAGGTTTAGCTTGAATTTGACCCTATCCCACTGCTACACCACAAAAAGAAAAAAAATCCATCTGACTCAGGTAGCCCCCTTGTTCTTTACCTCCCCCTAACTTTTTCTCCCCTATAGCCCCCCTTCCCCTCCTCCTCCTTACCACCAGATTCTGCTCTGAGGAAAAAATTTAAAGATTGCTGACCTTGAAATTGCACACAACTATAGTAATTTTTATATTGTACACATAGATTTAGTTGATCTAGAACTAATGCATGTTATCTTTTCTGAAACTGCTGTAAGTTTTAGCACAGGTACTCCATAAGCACACTTTAAAACAGCATTTTGGCATCTACTTTTATAGAGTACAAACTATTTTTTTTGCACTCATGCACACTCAAACACCCTCCTCCCCTCATACCTCTATGGACCCATCTCATAACCAATATGATTCACTTAACAGTCCAAAACACACATTTACAGTTACACCATCATCATATCTGTTACCATACACCTGTGCTCCCATTGCCATCTCCTTGAATGGTTACAATCATCCAAAGTCACCTCCATTCCCTCCCCACCTCATCTCCACAAGTTCTCCATTTCCTTCCCTAGTCCATACCATCTTTGTCATCCTCTTCTCCTCCCCCATCATTCTCCTAGTCACTCACCCCTTCTTCATTGCTATCATTGTCTTTTTCCTCATAGTCTTTGAAGGTCTTATTTCTGAACAGTCTATGCTAGTCTCTTTTCTTCCATGTGTCCTCCCACATCATCTTCCATCTTCCTGTAGTACACCTGAAGCTCGCTCACTTCCATTCTGACATGGTCCTCAACTAGGAGGTTTGTGTGTCTGTACATGAACAGGTTCCTGGTCTTCCACAGGGTGTTCCTGAAGCAAAAACTGGTTGAAGCTGGTTGTCAGAGCCCCTTGCTGCTTGGCCAGGTGTCCAAAAAAGCACCACCTCTCTGGTTAGGGTCTTGACCCCTGTCAACATAATAAGGAGTACAACTACTCTCCTCCACACTTCCCTGGCATATGGGTAGTTCCAGATGAGGTGGTCAATTGTTTCCTCCTTCCACCAGCAGATTTGCCTGGTGCAGTTCGATAGGCATCTCTGCCCCTTTCTCTGTTTCAGTGCCTGCACAGGGAGTGCCTGGTGGGTTACCTGTCAGTCCAAGTATCTGTGTTGCTGCTGCAAGTCCTTGTGGAAAATATATTCCCACCCAGTCTGGCACCTGTCACCAGGTAGCATATCCACAGGTGACAGTCTATCCCTTGCCCTAGCCACTTTCTGCATTTTATGGTGGTTTTTCAGGGTTTCTGGGTTCTCATGGTATAAATTGTCCTTGTTCCAGAAGTTCTCCAAGACCCTGTAGAACCATGGTGGCTCCAAGGTCCACAGGGACAAGTCAGGTGGCATGTACAGCAGCAATTTAAATGAGAGACAGTGAGTTTAATGCAGAGATGCTGAATACACAAGATGCTGCAGTGCACTGGAGTGTTCTAATTAGAACACTCCAGCAGACTCCAACAACCCTTACATGCATAAAGTGATACCTTATTCCAGTTGCACCACCTTTTATGGTGCTATCGGAGTATTGTACATCTGTGAGTTGTGGTTGTGACATACTCTGATCCTAGTTTATGTCCCACTTAATTATATTTCCCCATGCATTCATCTATGCCTCTATTAATGGAGTCTGTTCTGACGCATTCTAATCAGAACGTGTCAGAGGATATGTAAAAGTCCCCTCTTCTAAAGTGTCCAAAAATGCAGGTATCATTCAAGTACTGCTTACCACACTAGAGGGAGAATAAGGTGTGCCCAGCTTATAGGAAATAGTGAAAGAGATGTGAAAAACAGGACTATTCTATATCCCATTGCTGAAGAGGTCCCATAGAACAAACAAACACAGCAAAATATGCTATAATTAGAGATGCAGAACTTCTGGAGGCAGGGGAGTGATGGGAGGAGAAAAGCCCTCATGAAACTGCACTTATGCAGTTTGCAAGGACACTCTGCGTATACGCACTGCAGAAGGTAGCCAGCTATTTATCTGACATATTTCCAACTTAACTATCGCATCAGTGACCTAACTAGATAAGTACCATCACCAACTACAAGTAATCCCAGCAATGCTGAGATGCAGTAATAAGCATTTGTTAACTGCAAGAACGCAACCAGATGCTGGTGATGTACAGAACCCATCTGAGTCCAGTGGGCAGATTCAGGTGGTCAGTTAGAAGCCTTAACAAGAGACATTTCCATTTGCAGATTAAAATAGTTGGCATCCAAGAGGACCAATCACTGGGCAGTAGGACAGTATAAGCCATGGGTTTGATTGAAGTACAAACACCAGAATATCTTCAAAGCCAGAGAGGAGGGAGACTTCTGGGCAGGGCCCATTCTAGCAGAATAAGGTCTCCTCCATGGCAAGATGAAGCTTAGAACAGGCCCCCTAGGTGCAGCCCGCAAGACTAGCAAAATGCAAAGAATTAATAGCCCTGATGGAGCCTCTGAAGGAGGAACTGGCAAGCTTGCCAAGAGGAATCATGTTTACACTCAATAAAATTAACACAGAGCAGATGAAATGCCCAATGGTGGTGAGAAAATTCTCAGAGTAAACCAAAGGCCTGCAGCATTAATACAAAACCACTACCAGGAGTATTGCAAAGAAGTCATTACCCTTTATCAAATGATTGAGGACACACTACTTGATTTATCAGGGCAACTGACACTGAGTCTGCTGAATGCTGTTTTGGTATGGTATTTTATCTTGCTCTACATTATAGTTTAGAGAGCACTGAAGACAAATTATGTGCAAATATTATAAATATAGGTTTTCCACAGCAGGATACGTGAACCTCAACATTTTCCCACCAAGCACATTTAAAGCAAATTAAGAAGAGAGAATCTAAAACCCATCATTTGACCTAATTTTGTACACTACTGAATGACTTAACATATAATCATAGGGGAAAAATGAAATTACTCATCAATATGAGCATTTTTGTAGGGCAAAGTCAGATAGAAAAACTTGTTACAAATCAAATCCAGCTTTAAGATTTTTAAGATGTCAGCACTGGATATCAGATTAAAGAAAGCAGCTGGAAAGACTTTGTTCAAAGGTCAGGTCATTGATTAATTCAAAATAAGCAAATAGAAAGAAATATGCCATTTACTGATAAAGCAAAATACTTCTTAGTAACCTGCTTAAGATGGTCAAGGGTTATGCAACCAGATGGCTTTCTCCAACAGGAAATTTTGTTTAGAAGCATATTATGATACTTAAGGCTGTAATCTAATAATCAGCTAGTAATGTGTTTTATGACAAGAGGCAGGAGTGCAGCCATCTCCCCTGGGTCAAAGTGGTTAAGTCCTCTCTCTGTACGGAAATTCAGGGAAAGGACTATGAAGGAAGATTATCAGATACTGACTAGCAAAAGGGAATAGGGAAAAAAACAACTGTGATTTCTGAGATGATTCCTTGCTTAGAATTTGGTTCCCCCCACATGCCACTCATTACTGATTTTTGCTTTTGTTGACTTGTTTGGATTTTCTGTTATATAAATCTTCTCTCACTGCATTTTGTCTCCATTCTAAAAACTAAGCCTTTGAAAAGTCAAGTTCAGCATTGCCAACATCATAATTGTTCATGGCCCTTAAGCTTATGCTAGCAGGATCGCAAAACCATTACATTTTAATAAATTTGGACTTTTTTTTTTAAAATCAGTTTTCTGAACCTTTAGAGTTCATTTTTAAAT